TCTTGCCCGTCGAACACCTCGTCCACTGTCGGATACGCGCAACCGTAGCCATCGATGCATTCACGATCCTTCCTTCCGTCAAACGAAGAGGATTGTGATGTCCACTGATCACTCTTGGGTGCACCACGACTAGTCGCATCCACTTCGGCGCGGGTGTAGTCCTCACGAGGCGCGTTCTCGTTCGCGTTTTCATGTTCGTATCTGTCGCGCGGATTAGCCAACGCACTAACATGCGCGTCGCCACGATTTCCGATCCCACTGTAGATTCCCTTTTGCTTGCGATGCGCTTGTCCCTCGTGGTCATCGTCGTCGTTTTCTCCATCGTCATCGTCGTCTCTGTCATTGCTATAGGCAGTGTAAGCATGCACGTCAACGAAAGAAACGGCCGAGGTAGCCACGTCGGGCCTTTCCTCGGGGATCGCTCCGCTCCTTCGTCTTCTTCGTGACCCTCTTCTTGCTCCTCGAGCGAATCGCGGGACCCGTCGTCGTCGCGGCGACGAATGATCAACGCGAGGAGTACGCGTCCGCGCGCGCAACGCGTCGCCGTCATTATCATCCTCGTCCTCGTGATCTTCATGGCGATCACGTGTGCGCGCGCGCACCTCGCCGCGCGAAACAGAATCGCGAGAGATGCGAAAGGCAGTGGCAGTTCCGGCTTTCTCATCGGGTCCGTGCCCGACCTCGTGGTGTCGGGCTTCGTAATGGTGTCGCACGGCGAATACGTCACCGTTGTCGGCGACGCGATCGCAAATCGACCCGGGGGACGATCTGGATGACGCATACGCGGCGCAATCGGACCGTAAACACTCCACGAACGAGGTTGTCGACGACGACGACGACGACGACGACGACAACAACGACGATAACCAAAGTTGCCATTTCTTTTCTTCCTCCTTCCTTCTCTTCCCTCTCCATTTTTTCGACGTAGGTGGTCCCGTGAGTCCAAGCGGGTCGAGCCGCATGGGCGCGACGGGATAATCGGGGACGCTAACGTCCCCGACGTTCTGTCGTCGTCGTCGCGCACCTCCTCGTCGACGTTTCCTGGCGCGCACGTCCGTAGCCGTACGATACGATAACGTGCTTTGCCTTCCTCCACCAAAGCTGACCAATCTTCTTTCTGCCGCTGCCTTCTTCTTCTCGGTATCGCACACGCCGGCCGACGACGACGAAGAAGATGACTCGCAGTGGACTCGCGGCGTAGATGATCCGTATCGCGGCCGGGCTGCTGCAGGAGGACCCGCATCGCTGCCACCAAATCTGAGGCCCGCCTCTCGGCACGCGCTCTGTTCCCCGACACTCGATTCTACGTGTTCCCGGAACGCCGTTCGCGACGCGAATCGCGATACTGTTGCTGCTGTTGCAGCCGCTACCGTTATTTCCGGTACGTCTGAGGAGACACGACACCAGCACCAATGCTGCGCAACATGACCATTCGGGCAATTCCTCTTCCGTGTGTTCCTTCGGAGATATATGAGAGATATTCTTCCGCCACTCGATAACTCGCGCCAAGTCTCGCTCGCCCTCTCTTTGCGCCGTGCAGTGATACACGTCAATGCCTTCCTGGACGGGTACTCGAGCCTCGACGTATCTCCGTTCTCGAGCGGAACGTTTCCCTCTCGTTTCCGTTTCTCTGTTCGTTCGCGTTTCTCGTCCCCGCGATAACGAGCAAACTCGCGCCGTCGTCCTCTCCGTCGCTCTGTCGGCGAGCGACCGCTCGTCGGGATATCCCCGCTGTTCGATGATGTCAGCCCCGCTCGTGCGTATCCCGGACCAGTCGCCCAGGTGCCTGCCTGAGCGGCCCGGGTTGGCGGGGCCCTTAGAAGTTCCCCTGGACCAACGTACCACGATCGCCGACCGAGACGGCGGCGACTGCGACAGTCGCAGCTGCTGCGGTGGTTGCGGCGACGACGACGATGCCGGCGAGGAATTCCCTCGACGGCGACAGCAGCAACGGCAACGCAACGCGCTCGTAGTAATCCACCACCTCCGCTTTCGTTTCTTCCTTCTGCTGCGCCACCTGCACCTCTTGCACCACCACCTCGTGCCGCTTGGCCTGACGGTCCCTTCTCTCCCTGATGCCGCTGTCGCCGCTGCTGCTGTTGCCGCTGCTCTTGCTGTGCCTGTCCCCGCTGTGCCAGGTGTTGTGCGCCACTTCCGGGTGAGCGCAACGACGCCGGCGGCGGTGGCAGCTCTCGACGCGCGCGACGACGTTGCGTGTATCGAGGACGACCTGATGCGAAAGCACCTGAACAACACCCGCTTCGTCGTCGTCGTAGTCCCCCTGCCGAGGCTCGCGAGCTCCCAGTACGGGGCACCGAGGTTCATGCTGCATCCTGAACGCCCGGCTACGTACCCTCCTCCTCCACCTTCTTCTCCTTCTCCTCCTCTTCCTCCTTCTTCTCCTTGCACGCTCTGCTGCTGCCTGTCGTCGCCAATGATCACGGCCGGTGGTGGCACGATAGTACGCACCACCACGACGATAACGATGACGATAACAACAACGACGACGACGACGACGACGACGACGACGACGACGACGACGACGACGACGATGACAGCAGTGACGATGACGCGAACAAGAGCGGCAATCTGTTCAAAAATCGCTGCATCCGAGCCCTCATGGACGTACCCCGGGGTCACTGCGTGTCGGTAACCAATCAACCAACCCGACTCGAACGTCACTGATACGAAAAAGATGCACTCAAACTGCTCACTCGAACTGTATCGGGATCGCGACGACGGGAGATGAACACTCGGCGAATCGAACTCGGCACAGCGACGTTGATGTCACAACGATTTTTCGGCGGTGGTTCCTGGAGACGAGAGAGAGGAAGAAAGAGTGAAGGTTATAGCGTTTTACCACTCAAAGCACACCACCGCCACCGCCACGCTCGCGCTCGCCTACACCCGGAAGACGCGACGACCTGGATTAATTACTCGTACAGACGGTTCGCGCGCAAAACCGGAGTGCGCACTCTTTCTCACGGCTCCCGGCTACGTTTCCGGTGAAGGGCGAGAAAGTCGACGACGATCGGGATATATCACGGCGACGATGATGGATATGGGTAGACACCAGCGGGTATCTCGCGGCCGCGGCGGGGTAGAGGATGTAAAAAGAGGCATTATTAGGATTAGGATGTCGTCGTCATAACGGGGACTGCTGTGACGTTCGCGAGGCTGGAGGTACGCGCTGGAGGCCGCTCCGTGCTGGCGGTGGTGCTCGAGACCCTGCTGCTGCCGCTGCTGCTGCTACCGCTGCTGCCGCTGCTGCTGCTGCTGCTGCTGCTGCTGCTGCTGCTGCTGCTGGCACCACCGTCGTCGCATCGGCGCATTGTCACCCCCGTGTGTGCAGCCTTGTCGCGGCGCTCCTCCGCGCCCGACGATTCCACTCTCGGATTTCGACGATGGACGGCGGCACGCCAAAAGAATAAAACTCCGCTCTTCCGGATCCTCGTCAAAAAGTTGCAATGCGACGACGATGGCAATAACGACACGATGATGCAGTCGGAATTAATGACATCCACTTATCTCGTTTCGAAAAAATTCTTCTCTTTCTTGGTGAACACTTGAAGAACAATATCCTATCCTATCCGTTTTTATTATAACCTGGTCTTCGTTCAACTTTATTTTCCTGATAAATTTTTCTTGTATCAAGCGAGCAGGGGACTTCACTTTCTTCTTTTCTCCTTTATTTCTCGTGTTTCTTTAACGTGCTTGCAGTACCAATATGCACACGTGCGATAGTCTGGCGCGTGCACAGAGTAGGAAGAGAGACGATGTTCTACGTATGCACGCGTACAAGCATGTTCCCCTGTGTCGTTTCTGATCGGTACTGATGATCGATACTTTTTATCATCTGTTACTCTTTTTCTCTCTCCAAATGTGCCAATATCTGTCTCGTGGTCTGTAGACTGTTCGTCAGTTATTTATTATCCTGCACTCGGTGTGCAAGAAGTGCTTCGACGATCGTGAATATCGGTTACGTCGATCGCGGCGGGCGGGCGTTCGTGAGAGGCGGAGGCGGGAAATAAGGAGAGAAGAAACGGGGGTAGGGGATGTTGTTCGCGCGACAGGAACGACGGTTTCGAGAGGGTTACGGCGAATCCACTCTGTTCGCGTCCCCCGAACGGGGGAGGATTAGACGACGCGGGTGCGTCGGGTTGCGCGGCGGCACGACGCGGATCTGACGTATCCGGATGTTACACACCGAGTAGATGTGCTTTCCCCTTATATCCCTATCTCGGCTTTAAAGGACGGCGAAGCAACGGACGTGGCGGAGGCGGCGGCGATGGTAACGGCGACGGCGGCAACGGTGACGACGGTCGTATGTCGGAACGGGCCCGGCGATGTAGGAAGGGACGACAGGGAGCACAGTGGGCGAGCGCACCAGGCTAATAGTAGGACACACACACACACACACACACACACGCACACACACACACACGCACACACACACGCACACACACACGCACACGCACACACACAGAGAGACACACACATGTACACACCACTCTTTGCTCGCTCGTTCGCTCGCTTGCTCGCTCGTGGCCGATCGCGCGCGCGTGTCGACACGACGTACGAAGAAGAAGAGGAAAGAAGAAACACCGCGGAAGCGCGTTCCGCGCCGACACCAGGCACTGCGCGCTAGCTCGTTATCGGCTAACTCCTGTACTACACGGACGTACCCGAGGATCCCTCTTGGAGAGACTCGTTGCAAAACTTCGGGGGAGAGCGCCCTCTCTCTCTCGCGAATCGTGTCCCTTCGTGTCGCGCTGCCAACCACGCGCGCGCGCGCACCATGCACCCCCTCATCGTCCACCCCTATCGCTCCCTTCCCTTTCTTTCACCAACCCCTGACACCCACTCTTTGCGTCCTCTGCTTTGCGTCCTGTTCTCCATCCCTCTCTTGCTTGTCTATCCGCTTCGTCTCTCTCTCTCTCTCT